CTAAATATAGTATTATGCAGCAAGAGGAAATGGAGTAGAGAAAATACTTCGCAGGCAGGAGAAAAAGAAACTGTTGGGAATTAAAGTCAAAGTATGCCTGGTGTACCTAAGGAAAAAAAAAATCAGACAAGCAGTGTGCCTCACATGGAACAGACAGAGAGCATCAGGAAGTGAGGCCGGGGTAATGGGGGCAGAACATACATGGCCTTCTTGGCATTAGTTGCAAGTCAAGGAGTGGGGGGCACACAAACCTTGACTAATTCATTAAGAATATCCTAAAGAGGAAGAGTCAATGGAGAAACAAGAAGGAAGGCTTTGACAGGAGACAGTAAGTCAAGGGAGAGTCTTTGGCTAGTGAAGGAGCGCTCGGGGTAAGCGGTAAGTGCTCTAGACCCAAACAGTGAGCAATAAACAGGACTAACTACTTCGTGCTGGACGTTGATATGCCCCTAGCCCTGCAAAGAACAGGGGCTCCTGAGAGATGCTTTACCTAATCAAAGTGCTGAGAACAAATGACCAGTGAGTGCCCAGCCATCCATTCGATGCCTATACCTCCCCTCCAAAGGTCAGGGCACACTGAGGAAGGAGGGAGAAAAGAATGTAAGTGTCAGAGGAAGGGTAGGCCTTAAAGGTATGGACCACTAACTTCTAGACATAACGCAACTAGTATACTCGAATCCACAACCACTGTGATTACCTGCACAAGACCGACACACGATACCTGTCATGAAAAGGGGAGGGGCTCATGGAGTCCCCGCCCCAACCCCTCCCTGAGGATTTGTATGCAGCTAATGATTGACGAGAGAGGGAGAAACATTTCCTCCAGTGAGGAAGCTACTGGTAAGGTATCTATGTTCCTGTTAACAAACCTTCACCCATGATCCTACACTGGGACACACACACACACAAGGAGAAGAGGAGCTACCTGGAAAGGAGAGGAAGATTAGCAGGAGAGGGAGGGGGACAAGAGAGAGTAATGGGGTGAATATAACCAAATTGCTTATATACATGAAGAAGATGTCTTAGTGAAACCTACCATTACATATAACTACTATACAGCAATAAAAGATCACAGGAAAAGGAAGAAAATGCCTTAGCACCACTGTGACACATGTGTTCCTGCTGGTTTGTTCTTTCTGAGTTTCCTGGCATTTTCTGATGATTTAGACAGATCTTATTCTCAGCCCTAGTTCCAGCCAATGAAAGACATCAGCCTACTCTCATTCTCACAAACCATGATCTAACAGTAAGTCAGGCCACAGTCTGGCCAGCATCCAAACTGCCGTCTGACTATTTCAAAATGCCTGACCCCACCAGAGAAGCTACGTTCCTCACAGACTGTTCCACCCAGTCCTACTCATCAGGAAAAAAACAAAACAAAACAACAACAACAACAAAAAAAAAAACCATGACATCATCCCTATATGCCCAGATGAAACTTTAAGGATGTTTTCTGCTTCACGAGTGACGAGCACAACATCAGAAAAAACAGAGAAAGGTTGAAACCGTGACAAGAGCCTGACTGGCACAAAATTAAAGGAACATTCCAGTTCTCTTGTTAGGATTCTGCTATGCAAATCTGTCTTAACACAGGAAATGATGCCCCGTGCTCTGCAGCAGAATCTCATAAAAATGTAAAGAATGAGGCTAGAGGGACAGTTCAGCCAATGAAGGACTTGCACGGAAAGTGTGATCACCAGAACACACAAGCCCCCACTGTGGAAACACAGGCAGGGTTCCAGGCTCTGAGAGACCTCATCTCCAAAAGTGATGGACAGCGCGTGAGGAACCATACCCAAGGTTGTCCTCTGGCCTCCCACATGCATGTACATGTACCTGTACAAACGCACACACATACACACTCTAATGAGTCATCCAACTTCTTTCAATGCAAGGACTGCAAATGGAACCATATGCACCAGCCAGTGTCATAATAGCAACAAAGCCCCTGGAAACAGCATTAAAGTTCAACAGGCAGACCTGCTACGGTCAGCCCTTCCAGCCAAAGGTCTTTCCTCAAAATGGCAGTCTGCTGGGAATTCCTTCAACTGTCCAGTTTCATGGACCACAATACTGCACACTGGCCACGTGGGGGCACCAGCATACTCCACACCCAAATGCAAGGCTTGTGTTTTTCCTAATCTGAAGTACAGTGGAGCGTGGTTCAGTCTCCCGTGGTGCTTCTTACAAATACGGAGGTTAATGAAGACATAAAACTGCCAAACAAAAACCCACAAAACTGATCAAATTCAGAAGATGTTACAAGTAACAGGGGAGTTTTCAATCTGTTCCTCTAAGGTTCCTTTTAAATGCCCAACCTCCAGATCTTCTCTCTTTCCTGCTTCCAGACACCTCTACCAGTAACTCAAGTACCCCACCAGCTCTGGTCTCTTCCACAGCGCTCCAGTCCTGTATCTCTAACTGTGCTCTTCACCATGGCGTACTTCAAACTCCATACTTCATCTCTCATAACAAGACAGCTATGATGTCCTGACTTTGCAAAAATAATAAATGCTAACATCCAGCATGTTTTCATACAGATTAAGTTATACACTGCTTAAAATAAGAAAGATGTTTGGCAAATTGTTCAAAAGCACACAGCTCAAGGAGTGTCATGGCGCGAGTTGGAATCCCAGATGTGTAACTCCAGACCCAGGTCCTAAACCACTGTGTTGGGTTGTCATGTTCAGCATTTCCCTTTGAGTTCACATACTTACAGAAATACATATGATAATATTACAAGTAATCAGCACATTTTTGTTGGTGATGAAGTTAAGGCTAAAGAGTAAGGGAATTCTATAAACTAAAATTTAAGAGGAAAGACCAGGTGCCATGTTTATAAGTATCCAGTGCATATTTTTTTTTTTTTTTTTTTTTTTTTTGGTTTTTTTGAGACAGGGTTTCTCTGTGTAGCTTTGCGCCTTTCCTGGAATTCGCTTTGGAGACCAGGCTGGCCTCGAACTCACAGAGATCCACCTGCCTCTGCCTCCCGAGTGCTGGGATTAAAGGCGTGCGCCACCACCGCCCGGCTAAGTGCATATTTTTTATTTGAATTAGAGTTAGTCACCTTCAAACAACCAAGCACACAGGCTGAGAGAGAAGCAGTAATACAGACCTGGATACAAATATAAAAAAGAAAATAATCATTAAGCCAGTTAGGTGAAAGAAAGTCAATAAAGACCTTTTCTCAAAAACAGGGTATGGCTCTGTGGGTAAAGCACGTGATACGGAAGCATGAATACCTGCGATCGGATCCACAGAACCTACACAAAGCCAGGCTCAGCAGCACACACCTGTGACTCCAGCATTTCCACAACAAGAGGGGAAGCAGAAACCAGAGAGGCCCCCAGAAGCTTGTGGACCAGCTGACCCCGCTTATACAGCAGTAAGCAACAGGAGCCTGTCTTAATCACGGTAGAAGGTGAGGACTGGCGCTCATCCTCTGACCTCCATACACACACTGTGGAATACACATACACACACACCACACAAACACACATACACAGAAGGCCTCTTAAGGAGAGGTAGGATATAAGAAGACAAGACACATGAGATAGAAGAATAATGAGATGAAAGTATCTACAGTTCACAAGGTGACATCTGAACCATGACAGTGGCCACTCCACTGATGGCTGACCCTTCTTTTCATTACACCTAAACTGTGTAATTTCCTAGTTCATGATAACCAGAACTACCTCTGCTCAAAAGTCTAGGCATTAGATAGGTCGTGAGCACACTTTTGAACTTGACCCATCTGTTTATTCCTTTAATCTAAGGATGAAAACAGAATATTTCTGACTAGCTTCCTCTAACCGAAAGCACAGCTTCTTTTCTTGACAATGTTTTCATTTTATGTAGTAAGCCATTATTTAAAGGGCACCAACCAACTACATACTAGAAATACAAAACTGACCCCCCAAAAACCACAGCCACCTATACAACTACACGTAAACAAAACAAGAGCATAAGCAATTACTAAGAAATGTTTTATCTGGGAAAAGGGCATCTAACCCAGACTCAAATAGTCACAAATACTTTCCTAAAATCCAGGCTAAGACCATACTAGGAAAACATAAAAAAGAAAAATGGTGTCAAACAGAGAGTGTGCATGATGTTTGGAAGACAGAGAATATGGGTACAGGGGATAACAGCAAGTCGGGGAAACAGTGGAGAAGTAAACGTGATTGGCTGGTTGACCAGGGTGTGAGTCGGTCTAGTGAGGCAGCAGAGCCAGCCTTAGCCAGCTGGGAAATGCACAACCCTGCTCAGCATGGGACAGTCCACATTCCCACACATAGTTGCTAAAGGTACACATTTACACAAATTCATAATTTTAACAAGAAATAGGGATGTGGACAAAGCCTTTGGTGGGGTATATCTTTTGACCCAGCTGTTTCCTTTCTGGGAGTTTATCTTATGGCAATAATTATGCTACAAGGAATCTGGCTTTCAGGAAAATAACACAGCCTGTAAGAGCAAAGTAAGAGAAACCAGCTAGTGCCTATCCATTAAGAACTCATGTATATACGTCATAATGCATCCATATTTCAGACTACTCTGTCTGTAATCATGACAAATCATATTGAAGAATATTATTTATTGGCATGAAAATGCTTACAATAAGCTATGAAGAGAAACAACAACTATACACAAACAGAAGTATACTTTTCTTTTTCTTGGCTTCTCAATCATTTTAGCTTTATGGTGGTGGTGGTAGTTGGGATTTTTTTTGTTTGGTTTTTGTTTGGGAGTTTATTTCATCTTTTAAATTTTTTTCCAGTGAAACTGGGGTGCTTTTATAATAAGAAATACTAGTTGTTTATTAACATTTTTAAAGATTTAATCACCTCCTCGGGAAACTCATATGAATGAAGAGTTATATACAGTTAGGTGCTAGCACACTGTGAAAGTAAAAGTGGGTATGCAAATTCCTGGACAGTGATCTGCATAGCACACACCCTCCACACATGCCCATAAACAACCTTCCTCTGAACACAGACCTGGACAAATCCAAATGGGAAGAAACGCTCCGTCTGCCCCTGGGAGCCGGAGTGGAAGTTCTGACGCCAGTCTTCAATGAGCGCAGGGAACATGCACGAATACAGGTCTCTGTTATAATTTGCATTGGCCTCCCCTAAAAAATCGCCAAAATTGTGAGGAGTTTGGTGTAGATTTTTAAAATGCCTTACATTCTTCTCCTCCCCATCCATGCCCTGAGGTAGCGGTCTCAAGACTGGCATCATCACTTGCTGTGGCCAGAGGCTTTGAGCGTGGCTCCCTCTCTCTTTCTGGAACTCTAGGACCATAACAGAAATGAACTATAAGTGTGAGCTAATCTGCTAAAAACAGGCCACCCGAGAATCACGATGCCCACCACACAGTCCCCAATCAATGGTTAAGAGAGACAGGCCATCCTAGGTCTTCTGGCCACCGGATAACTTAACAGGTTAAGAGATCCCAGATAAAACTAGCTGAAGCAGCACAGATAGAAACACCCTGTTAAATAAATAAATAATATATATAATATTAAATAAATAAAATAAGTTAAATAAATAAAAATATAAACTTACTGGGCTTTGAAGCCATTAACTTCTTGGGGCATTTTGTTACACAGCAAAAGCTAACTGACACAATGGAGAAGGGCAAGCTCACCCTGGTACCACACCACCCCTTTCAAAGTCATGTTCTGCAGTGGATGGATCATGGCATTCCAGAGGACAGAGTGCTTTACGGGTCCAGCCACAAAATAAGGTGGAACAAACCTGAAATGGGCAAGATGAACATGGTCACCAGATCAGCCTACCCACGTTCACTTGGACAAACCTTGGATGAAAACAGCACATTCCATTACATTTCATTTGAAAACATGGGGACATCTTGGAATTCTACCTCCAGGCTCTTCTGAGTCAGTTCTGTGGGAGTCCACAGTGAGCCGTGCAGATTTCCAGATCAGGCCATTAAAGCCAGAGGGAGGGCTGGTTTACAGGCAATAAATTCAGCTAACCACTACTCAGTAGACAAGCCACTTAGACTAGCTTAAGTGTTTTGCTTTTGTGAGTAATGCCATGATTACCTTCCATATAGCTAACCCAATGTATATACGTACGCTTAATTCTTTTTGCAAGATAAACTCCCAGCAACAGCATTACTGAGTCAAAAAAAATTTTTTTTAACTTTGGATATGGTCCCAAATTTCTCTGTGGAACACATATCTGCATCTGACTTTGCAGTAGCTTCTGTGAGAATCCCCACTTTTCCACACTGCTCGAGTCCTCGCTCCCACTCCTCAGAGATCTGAAGGCCCTGGCTTCGAAGCCCACCACATGCGAGGTAAGCCTCTCCCTCCTACTCTACTAAAAGCCATTCTTTTTGTCCAACCTTAATGTCTCCACCCCACCCACACCCAGGCAAGCCTGTATCCAAATATCCCAACCGTACTAAGCAAAGCTCTCCTCCTCCCAGAAGCCTTCCCGGAGTGAATGAGACCGTGCTCCCAAAAGTGGGGCGCATACCATTCATCTCCATTTGCGTACAGTTTTATTTGTGGTTTTTTTGTTTGTTTTGTTTTAAACTAACTAGGTCTTTCTCTCACCAAATATTCTTCCCACCCAGCTTTTCCCAAGCAGGCTTTCATACTCAGCACACTAATATATTTTTAAATATATATTTATACATTCCTTCGTGTCTGGCTGTTTGCTCTTGAGGCACGACAGCACAGTGGCCAGAAGGAACCCAGGCGCTGCAGCCAGATTAGCCTCCTTCCTAGTCCTGCCCATGAGCCCATTATTGATCCTCTGTGGGACTCAGTGTCTTTACCCGTGGAACATCAGCAGTATCAACACTTTAGATGAACTAGCGCATGTAAGAGCCCCGTACAGAACCCTCCATAGAAAGCAGTCAGCAAGCTTGTAACTATTGCTGTTACTGAGTTAAATGGTCATAACCCCTCTTGGCATGTACCCAGATGACTACAGCACTCATGATAACGGCACATGCCCTGTACATGGATAAACTCCACATACTCAGGACCGGTGTAGACATTCAATGCACACTTACCTCCCCAAAGGACACAAGGACCCCTCACTCTTACACTCGTTCCTCATGGGCTTTATCTTGGGCTGAAGAATTCTTTCATTCCTTGTATTAGGGACTCCACAGGCTTCCAGTGACCTTCTAGATGACCAGACTTCAATGGGTGTCCCACCCCAACTGGACGAGACCAGCCCAATAGGATACTGCAGAGTATCATACAGGTAACGGCCAAAGAGCCAGCACACTGCTGACATGTAAGTGAAATCTCCATGGCCCAAGTTTCCTAGGCAGAGAAACAGTCACAGGGAAAGTCATGAGAAAAGCAAAGGAATACAGATTGGAGCTGTTAGATCAGTCTAGGTGAGAGCAGGGGACATGAGCCAGCCCTGGGCTCCTTTCTAAGACCTTCAGAAGCAGAGTAAGATGAGGGGCAGCGACAAGATGCAGGCCAAGATGAAGTGTAGCTTCCAAAGCTCCCCTAAGGAGAATCTGTTTTTTTGGAGGAGGGGGCAGGGCTTCAGTGTTAGTGACAGTTTGTTTTGATTGCTCTTCGGTTTGTTTGTTTGTTTTTTCAGTGGCCCAAATGTTTTTTCCCAGAAGGAGGAGACAGAGCTCTCAGCCTGGCATGAAGGCAGATAGGAACAACTGTGTTCCAGTCGGAATATAAATAATCCACTGACATAATCAGGGAGCCAAGACTCGAAGTAGGTTTTGAGGTACCCTAGACCCCCAGGCACTTGGAATCCAGGACTACTCGTCCTCCTCAGCAGGTAAGTGGTACAAAAACCACCAGGCCCACTTTCCACCCCTGTGCCTGCCTGTCCTCTTGTCTAGCTACTCACCTAAGGCAAGCAGCCAGGAGGGAGAGACGAGATGTATTTTTTTTTTCTGGGTTATTTTATGACCAATTCCATGGCTAAAGCAATGAAGACGTGGACATGTAAGTGCTGAGAAATCCAGCAGAAAGGGGGACACAAGCCATTCCCAGCTTTGTTCTTTCACCTGCCCAATTCATTCCATCTGTTCCTACTGCCCAGTAACCAGCCTAAGCTGCTGTATGGGAGCTCCACGTTAGAGGAAGTCGATGAGGGGAGTTGGGATGCAAACACAGACAGCGGCGACAGGATTAACTCAATCAGTACTCAGTAAACACCTACTATGTATGAGGCCCTGGTTTAGTACTGTCAAGGACTCAAACCCAAGAACTGATAGTGCAAAAGCAGAAAATCAAATCCACTGCAGATGAATTAGAATTGACTGAGCACCTACTATGTGTCAAGAGCTACACAATGGTTGAGATACAGCAGCAATGAAAGACCCATAAAGAACCTCTCATAAGTTCTAAAGTTGACTGAATAAAGCACGTGGTTAGCTAAGTAAAATGGAAAATACAGAGTCTTAAGAGATACAAAGAAGTTTTAGGCGGAGCTAGTAACAAAGAAAAAATATTAAATGAAATGAAGGTTTATAAAAAGTCTGGAAGGTGACTCAGTGGTTAAGAACATTGACTGCTCTTCCAGAGGACCAGGGTTCAATTCCCAGCACGCACATGGCAGCTCACACCTGTCTATAACTCAAGTTCCAGGGCTTCTGACACCCTCACACAGACATACATGCAGGTAAAACACCAATGCACATAAAATAAAAGTAAATTATATTTTTTAAAAAGCCTAGTTTAGACTGACTTCCTCCTCTCTCTCCATAGCTCCATCAAGTCACTTCCTGTAATAATCTGTTCGGTGTTTCCCTCTGTGGTGGTCTGAATGAGACGTCCCCACAGGCGTGTTTATTTGAATGTTTAGTCATCAGTTAGTTGAACTGTTTGGCAAAGACTAGGAGATGTAGCCTTGTTGGAGGTGTGTCATTGGGAGTGGGCTTTGAGGTTTCAAAAGTTCATGCCAAGCCCATTTTCCTCCTCTCTCTCTCTCTCTCTCTCTCTCTCTCTCTCTCTCTCTCTCTCTCTCTCCCCCCTCTCCCCTGCCCCCCCCCACCTCTCTGTGCCTGCTGCCTGCAAATCAGGATGTAGCTCTCAGCTACTTCTTCAGCACCACGTCTGCCTGACGCCATTCTCCCTGCCATGATGGTCATGGACCAACCCTCTGAAGCTATAATCAAGCCCCAATTAAATGTTTTCTTCTGTAAGTTGCCCTGGTCATGGTATCTCACAGCAATAGAAAAGTACTCCTCTCCTCACGCAGTTTTCATTACCTGAAGGCAGGACTTCGTCTTATTCATACCTGTATCTCTAATGTCTAGGATATAATCATAGCATATGTGTGTTTGCTAGTGTTTGGTGGCTGTGGGTAGCCGGTTTAAGGTAGACATACTGACTGGTAGGTAGAGGAAGGAGTAAGGTAGCTGAGAAGGAAGAAAGGAGGTTGGGGGACAGAGGATAGACAAGAATTTGTTTATTTGTATGTGGGGTGTGCATGTGTGCGTGCGTGTGTGTGTGTGTGTGTGTGTGTGTGTGTGTGTGTGAGTGTGTGTGTGTGTGTGTGTGTGTGTGTGTGTGTGTGTGTGTGTGTGTGTGTCAAGATGTGCAAGTATGTGTGTGTACATATGTGGAGACCAAAGGTTGATGTCAGGTGTCTTCTTCAATCACCCTCTACCTTATTTATTTATTCACGCATTTGTTTGTTTGATATGGCCTCTCACTAAGCTTGAAACTTACTTATTCAGCTATGCTGGCTGGCCAGCGAGCCCCAGGGATCACTTTGTCTGTCTCCACAGTGATGGAGTTACAGACACATGCTGCCATATCTGCCTTTTAAATGAGCACTGGGGTTCCAGACTCAGGTCCTCAGGCTTGCATGGCAAGCATCTGACCAGCTGAGCCATCTCCTAGGCACTAGACAGCAAAACTGACATTCTACACAGTGTGTGTGTGTGTGTGTGTGTGTGTGTGTGTGTGTGTGTGTGTGTGCACGCGCGCGTGTTGAGGCGTGCATCAGATAGGAAACATTCTGAGAGTACTTGATTTGGCGGAAGCAAATATTACAGAGGACTACTAGCAGAAGGCAGTGGCAGAGGGAGGTCTGGGTAATCAAAGTGGAAAGCCACTTGAAGAGAAGTGGCAGAAGGTGTGTGGACAGCCTCTGTGGCCCCTGAGACTATGTTATTTACCTGTCTGAGGATACTGGTAATGCTTGAGGATACAGAGCTAGAAAATGGAGAGAGTGTCCTAGATCCATCCAAGTGAGTCCAAACTAATTACTTTCATCCAAATCAGATCAAATTTTCTGCGATGCAGTTAAGAGGGACGTGGTGAGAGAAAAAGGAGAAACTGTAAATCTAGGAGGGACCTGGCCCACTCCGCCCTTCTCACCCCCCGAGAGCTGCCTCGTCTCCCTCGGTTGCTGCTGAGATGTCCCTTTGCTCAGATGGGCTCCATGTTTCTCCAACCGCAAACACCACTGTATCCAACCGAGTTTCCCTGTCAGCTCCCTTTTCTGATGGAGGTGATCTGTTTATTTTTGTCTCCTTAGCACACATCACCATCCTGCCTGCCCCGTGATATCCAAATCTATTCTGTCTTGAGTTCTGACACCAACGGGGAATTCAGATAACGAGGTATTATACACTATTCAAATCTGAGCTTTGGATGTAGTAAGAGTCCTTTGAGCAAAGGATTTATCTAAACATCACTTGAATCCGTTCAGTTCTGAAATTCTCTCAATAGCAGAATCCCAATACTGTGAGAATAGATAGCATCCAACACTTTGGCATGTTTATCACAATTATTTATTAATTGATGGTGTGTGTGTGTGTGTGTGTGTGTGTGTGTGTGTGTGTGTGTGTGTGTGAAAGAGAGAAGAGAGACAGAGGCAGGAGCTAGTTCTACCTTCTACCACGTTGGATCCTAGGGATCAAACTCAGGTTATCAGACACGGAAACAAGCACTTTAACCCACTGAGTCATTTCGACTGCCCCTAAGCATCAGGCAGTATGTAATTTACTAATTACTGGTTTCCTGTATTTTTTTTCATACTAGACTGTAAGCACATGAGGTCAGGTGTTTCTACCTGTGTCATTCACAGCTATGCCCAAAGCACTTAAAACAGTGCCTAGCATAGAGTGGGTGCTTCGGGGTTTGGTGAACATATACTGATACTTGAAAAGGAAGAAATACATAAAGTTCTGAGTTAAAGCGTATACAGAGTGAAAAAAAGAAAGGACCTAGAAAGAACAGGGAGACCACATTTGAAAGGAAAGATTAAGGAAGCAAAGAAAGGCGGGGGAGGGGGGAGTGGCAGAAGAGCTAGGAAGAAGAATTACCACACAGGTTAGGAGTCTGCAGAAGCTAAGAGCAGTGGTCAACAATGCCAAGTGATGCAGAGGTCACAGAGTTCGTAACGAGAGAAGTAACCTTGAGGTGAACAAATTGTTGAGGGAGAAGAACCAAATTATGGAGGACTAAAGAGTGAACCATGTTGTGGGGTGATGGTGGCACACACCTTTAATTCTTTCACTCAAGAGGCAGAAGCAGGAAGGCAGATCTTGAAGTTTGAGGCCAGCTTGGTCTACAGAGGGAGTTCCAAGGCAGCCAGGACCACAGAGAGAAGCCCTGTCTTGAAACAAACAAAATAAGAAGAGTGAAACATGTCAAGGCAGTGAAAAGAATGAAAACAAAAGACACTATAGAAAGTATAAAGCAACAGAAAGTGATGAGGCTTCGTCAGAAGGATGTTGGTTGCATTTGTCTTTGTTTTATTTTGTGAAAATAAAGAGCAAGGCTCTTTGGAGGAGGAACTGTGTGTCATGCTCACTGCTGTGTCCTTGGACTAGTGTAGAGCCTGCTGCGGAGGAGGCAGAGATGTGAAATAAAGACTCCGTGTTTAATGGAGAGAAAGGTCAGAATAAAAGCTGAGTGATGAAAGACGGCTCTGGAAGGAGCGGGAGCAGATCTGAATTCACTCGGAAAGGACATCAGTAAGTTGTCCTCAGACACAGGCATGGGGGGGGTGGACTAGAGAGGGTTACCATGATGGAGGAAGAGGCTGGCACACCTCACGTTCAACATCATCAGTACTGTTCTAAAATAAAAGGAAGAGCCCTTTCCTGAACACCAAGCAGAAGATTCAGGGTGGATACTTGAGAAGAAACATGAAACCATGATCATCAGGAATGGGATGGAGACCCAATAGGAATAAAAGGATAGTTCTGCAATAATAAGCAGAACCAAATTGGGTGGGGGTTACAGGTTCTGCTGTGCAATAGTCCTCTTGTGCACTGTAAAGATCTGTCACTCAAAAAAGGTCAATAAAAAGCTGACAGGCCAGTAGCTGGGCAGGAAGTCAGGTGGGAAAGCCAAACAGAATGATAGGAACAAGAAGAGTGGAGTCAGGAGTCGCCAGCCAGACACAGAGGAAGCAAGATGAGAATGCTGTACTGAGAAAAGGTACCAAGCCACCTGGCTAAACATAGATAAGAATTGTGGGTTAATTTAAGGGTAAGAGCTAGTTAGTAATAAGCCTGAGCTACCGGTAGAACATTTATAAGTAATATTAAGCCTCTGAGTCAATTATTTGGGAAGGGGTTGCTGGGTATTTGGGAGTTGCTGGCAGGACAGAAACCTCTGGTTACAAGGTTCTGCTTAAGTGACTAACCCATTCCCTAGAGATGTGCATGCGGAAGCACTCACGTACCTGCAGTGGGCTTGGACCATGACAGGTCAACCTCACCAAGGTCCTCCAGCTCCTCTTCTGCCTGGTTGAGGGAGACGGAGAAGATGCGCACAGACTGGTAGGCAGCAGTGTCAGACAACTCCTTCGAGGCGTTAAAAATCTAGAAAGATCAGCGGATCAGTTAACCTGATAGATGGCAAACTGGCTTGCAGCTTCTCAGTAAACACTTCTTCCAATCCACTGAGCTCCGTCTGACACTTAAATACACTGAGAACAAATGAATAATCAAATCAGTAATGGGTGGGACCAAAACACCTTGGATCCACTCTGACCAACAGAGACCATGATGAATCACGTTCCAGAAGACAATTCACAAACAATGAAACCTGATCTCTTCCACAGCAGGTCTATACTGGACAAGAAGAGCTGTGTAGATAGAGATGAGGCTAAAGAACAGGATGGATTACATCGTTATCTTTCCCCCATGGTTCTGGGGACTGGACCTAGGGCCTAGTGCATGCCAGGTAAACCTTCTACCACTGAGCTACACCTCCCAGCCCATAGCTTACTCTAATTTGAAACTAAAAGACCCATTCCCTCTGGTAACTGATATCTGATAACACAAAGCATTTGAATTAACTTCTTTTAACAATGGTGTTTAGAGAGTGTCTGTAGAGACAACATAGACCATGACTTATATAATCTATATACCATTAAAAAAAAAAAACAGATTACAAAGAAACAACAGAGGAATGATTGGAAACTAAGCTCTTCTCATCTTGGTCCTGGGGAGCAGTCACCAAGGAAAAGGCCGGCAAGAGAGGTAATCTGAAAAGCGCTGCCCAGGGGAAGGTTCAGGAGAGTCCCAAGGAACTAAAGAAAGAAATGTGTCTGCCCAAAGATACCACATTTCCCCAAACCACTTCACAAACCCTCATGACGCAGTGGTCTGGTGTCATTCTGGAGCAGACTGTGTGCACTGCCCAGTGACTTCCTCACTGGGCCTGTGAAGCCCCAGTCCTCTACATCTTAGGAACACCCTGTCTTCTGTGTTTCCTCTTTGTTTCCTGCACTGTTTGTTGTTGGGTTACTGTTTGGGGTTTTGTCTTAGTTAGGGTTTCTACTGCGGCGGCGGTGAAACACCATGACCAAAAAGCAAGTGGAGGAGGAAAGGGTGTATTAGGCTTACACTTGAGCATTGCGGTTCATCACTGAAGGAAGTCAGGACAGGAACTTAAACAGAGCAGGGTCTTGGAGGCAGGAGCTGACGCAGAGGCCATGGAGGGGTGCTGCTTACTGGCTTGCTTCCCATGGATTGCTCTGCCCAACTTCTTCTTTTTTTTTTTTTTTTATAATTTATTTTGCAATACAATTCAGTTCTACATATCAGCCACGGATTCCCTTGTTCTCCCCCCTCCCATCCCCCTCACCTTCCACCCAACCCCCCCCCCCCATTCCCATCTCCTCCAGGGCAAAGCCTTCCCCACAGACTGAGGTCAACCTGGTAGACTCAGTCCAGGTAGGTCTAGTCCCCTCCTCCCAGGCCGAGCCAAACAATCCTGCATAGGCCCCAGGTTTCAAACAGCCAACTCATGCAATGAGCACAAGATCTGGTCCCACTGCCTGGATGCCTCCCAAACAGATCAAGCCAATCAACTGTCTCACCCATTCAGAGGGCCTGATCCAGTGGGGACCCCTCAGCCATTGGTTCATAGTTCATGTGTTTCCATTCATTTGGCTATTTGTCCCTGTGCTTTATCCAACCTTGGTCTCAACAATTCTCGCTCATATATAGAACCCAGGACCAACAGGAATGGCACCACCCACCATGGGCTGGGCTCTCCCCCGTTTATCACCAAATGAGAAAATGCCTTACAGCTGGATCTCAAAGAGGCATTTCCTCAGCTGAGGCTCCTTCCTCTGATGACACTAGCTTGTGTCAAGTTGACACACAAAACCAGCCATTTCAGGTTTTGTTGCTATTGTTCTTTCCTTTATTTTAAAAAGAATAGATGGGCAATATCTTGGTTTGCTTTTGTATTTGCGTATGTGTTTGCTCTTGAGTCCTCTCAAACCCCCCCTCCCCCGCCAGCAGTCCAGCTTCTCGAAAAAACAAAGGACCAGCAGGATCATCAGGAAGGCCAGTTACCATTTGCCTCAGGGAGCAGGCTCTCCAGCTGAGTCTGGCTGCCACAGCAAGGCACAGGAAGCCAGGATACTTTGCATTGGCCTCCAGCCACAGAGACAGCAGCTGCTTCGCTTTACCTCCCACCCACCACAGAGAATACAGCTGGCCTTCCGGCCCACGGTCCAGGAGAAGGGAAAGGATAGAGGAGCTGGGCTGCCCCACAGCATTTCATTGAAAAATGCTGCCCCTAGAATCGCCTTTTGGTTGGCCACTGCGCTGGCTGCAGCCAACAACATAACCAGATACAAATGAAATCGCTCTCAGGTCACTGGGGGAGCCACAGCCTGATGTGTCTCCTGGGTGGCAGCAACGCCAGCCTGTCAAGGTCTCCATACTCAGGACAGACATTACAAACGGTCTCAGGAAAGTTCCACTGGAAATCCTGATCTGTCTTTAGGATTTTATTACCTGGCAGGTTTAATGGAAAATAAACGGCAAAGAGAAACAAGCTGATGTGCTCACAGTGTGCCCTGGCAGGGAAATTGTTTTTCCGCAGTAGGTACCTGTAAAAAGTCACCTCCTTTGAAATTCAGTTCTGCACTGAGCACGAAGCATCGTATGTTGCTTCCATGGAAACGGTGGATGAAGCTGCTTTCATTCTCTCCACCCACACTAGCTTCCGCACTGCCTGGGAACGCAGGCAGCTCATAGCAGAGATGCCAGCTTGGGAAAGCAGGATGGGAGAACATGCTCCCTGTCTTGCTGCCCCATTGCTGAGTCTGCCTGAGTAGTGCCAGGGCAGTAGAGTCAGGACAGCTGGCATTCTCCTGTACTGTTACCAGCCCATGGAACTCGATCCAAATCATTAGCTGGAAGGTTTCCATCTTTTCTCACATTTACCAGAACTGGAAAGCTGGGTGTTAACAAAATGGGGGTGGGGAAAATTCCTCCTGTACCTGATGACAATTACGTCTGAAATTGGTCCCCTTTCCCACTGCCACTGCCTTTTTTATGGAAGCATTTCCTCTGGGATATTGGCAGCAAATTTAAGAATAAAGAGATTTCAGGAAGATTTTCATTTAAATGACACTTGGTTTCCCTGCTGATGAAAGGGAAGCTTTCCTCCATCTGCTGAGATCAGACTTCATCTCATCAAACACCTCAGTGTAATTATTTCCCTACCAAGTATTTAAATGAGGATGTAAATGAATACCAAGGTATTTGAAGTCATTAACGCTGCCTGGGCTGAGGGAGAGCACCGCTGTCTCTCCAGGGACCAGACCAGTCCCTTCAAAGCAGCTGCTCACCAGTGTTCATTTTGTAACCTTTATACCACATTCTTGAATTAATGAAGACACGTCAAAAATCTATTTCCCTCAGAGGATCTAAGCATGGGGTCTGCAAGGGGGAGCAAGACATGTGTGTGAGTGTGTATGTGAACGTGTGCAGATGTAAATGTGTGTGTGCCCACACTCATACACGTGATAGACAGATATCTAGTAACTGACATGGAAGAATTTGCAGATTTAGTACCTCGTTTCCCCTTCTCCTCTGTCAGCTCTAAGGCTGAGGTAATAACTGTATGTGAGCCATCCACTGTACTTCTAAGAGTCTTCTATTGGAATGTGGTACCCATCCCTCTCTTCTGTATATTAACTTCTCTATGTGTAAAATACAAAAGAGGGGAGTGCACAGTGACTGAAAACTCGGCCTTCTTGTCTGATACTAGCCATCTTTTCCTGAGCCTCACTAGAAATATCTGAGTCTTAAGACCTACCCTGAGGTGGCAGATGAACATTTAGACTTTTCTCCATTTATAAACATCTCACTCAGTGTTATAAATAACATTCAGCTTTAAAATTCCATTTTACCCCAACAACAAGATGGGCATACAATCTGCCATTTCCTTCTTTGAATGTGAAGAGGGGTAGGTTATAGTGAGAATCTTACCTCCTCAAAAAGGCACATGGAGGGAGGAAAGGGAAGAGAGACAGACACTGTGCGTGTGTGCGTGTGTGCACTGGGGATCCGTGCAGGGGAAAGAGCGAAGGCATAAAGGGGGAGTCGTGCAACGCACCCTTCCTACCAGAAAACCCTTCTGCAAACTGTTAAAAGACTAAAAAATGTGGCTTTTGGTACTATCGCACCTAAAATGCTGCCTTGCAAACTAAGTGCTTCGTTGAGAGAGAGAGAGAGAGAGAGAGAGAGAGAGAGAGAGAGAGAGAGAGAGAGAGAGAAAATTAACACATATGTTTCAGATAGAATCCTCTTTTCTGTCCCCCTTCATCTCAGAGCTCTCAGCCCTGAGTTAATTCAGAAGACGCTCCAGAGAAAATTCCAGGCAGAAAGAACGTGTTTACGCTTAGCAATCAAGATCTGATTTAGCTTGACAGAAAATGGGATGGGATCCCTTGGCATAGGCTGCAATTGAGAAAGTTACTCTATAGATACAAACAGATCTGGTCCATGCCTTCCTGTGAAAACACAGAAGTACTTAAAACACGAGGGAAAGCACTGCTTTCTCTAATGACTTAACAGCAAGGCCACTTCTGTACAAAACCATGCTTTCTATCAGGATGAAACCTCACATCCGTGTCCATTCAAACATGCCAACAAGGTCCAGGCCAAGTTCAGCTTAATAGGCATTTCAATTCAAAATACTTCCATATAATTAACGAATTAAGGCAGGAAGTATGAGTTCACAAAACACTGATTAGAAAAATTTATATACAAGAAGTTAGATTTTTGAATTAGTAATATGGGTAAAATAAAGTATATATGTCAATCTTTTTAATAGCATTGTTTAGCAATAGGTTTTCTTAAAGGGAATAACGAAACTATAAAGAATAAAAGCTATAGAAACAAGCCAGGCAGTGGTTGAGTATGCCTTTAATCCCAGAACTTGGGAGGTAGAGGCAGGTGGATCTCTTGAGCTCGAGGCCAGCCTAGTCTACAGAGCTAGTTCCAGGACAGCCAGGGCCCAGGGCTAAACAAAGAAATCCTGTCTCAAAAAAGAAAAAAAAAAGTCTTACAGTATATAAAAGTATTCTAGTTTATACTTTTTTAATGATTTATTTTTTATTTTATATGCATTGGTGTTTTGCCTGCATGTGTGTCTGTTGGATCCCCTGGAACTGGAGTTACAGACAGTTATGAGGTGGCATGTAGGTGCTGGGAATTGAACCTGGGTCCTCTGGAAGAACAGCCAGTGCTCTTGACCACTGAGTCATCTCTCCAGCCCATCTAGTTCATAGTTTTATCAAAGAGAAAATTGAAAGGAAAGCCTGGCTTGGTTGTACAGAGTCCTAAACCTCAAACTTAAATACTTCTCAAAAACAAAATGGATAGTGAAGAAAGGCAAGAAGAGAGAAATAACTACAACAGAAACTCAGTTTGGAGGACAGAGCTAGGGATAGCAGGAAACTTGAACCTCAAGGAGAAAACTGAGCACATAAACACAATTAGTGCCAACCCGTAACTACTGATTTAATCAATAGCTTACTTCTCTAGGTTGTTAAATGAAATTATTTAATATGAAAGCACTCAGATTAGATCTTGCACATGGTAAGTACCTAATAAACAGAAACAGCCTTTCTTTTCCTTATTACTCTTTTTTTCCTTCTCCTTCTCCTCCTCCCATCAACATTTCTTGTCAGCTGAGCCTCTCCAAATTACCTGTAACACAGTCATCTGCATGTTACTCTGCCCACTGCACAGCCAGACATCTCCAAATAAGACATCGTGAACCCTCAGGGTGACATTGCTTGTTCCCAAGGCCTGTTGTGCCGTTACTTCAAAAGGTCCTCCAGGCTTCATGGGATCCAGTACCACCATCCAGGTGCTGGAGGGTGCTGAAATAACAACAGATCCAAGGAATTAACCAACCAGCCAACCACCGACAATGAAGTAAAACCCCGCACGCACTCCATTTGTGGCCATGCCCAGGCTCTGTGACAAACTGTATTCAAAGCTATAAAGACTGGCCAAACTCCAGACAAGGGGGATGGAGCTGTTGAGAACAGCAGCCTTTTTATCCTTAATCTGTACCAATCCTCTCTTATTTTTATCTAAGGCGTTTACAAGAAAAATTAGTTACCCAGTTATAATCCTAAATTAGGAGAGACAAAAATACACATAGATTAAAATTCAAGGACGGTTAGTTAAAAAAAATTTTTTTTAAACCCATAAAATAGAATTCTCATTACACTATCCAACTGTCAATATTACCATAATCTAATCTTTCTGATTTACACAGCACCCTGAACTAATTTGCAATTTTCCAATCAAATGGGAGCACAGGCTAAGAATCATTTCTAATCTGAATCTTCCCTTTACTAAGCAGGATCACCCTTGTCACCCCTACCTCCTCCACACTGCTAACACGGCCAGTGGCACTGGGTTCTCCCATTAACCAGCAGGTGCATGGAGGAATCGGTGCATCAACAAGTAGTGGGAGGCATATAAATTAATCTCCGTGGAAAAGATATTTTAACTTGCCCCATAGATTATTTCAGAATGACACACAAGACCTGAGGTCTGGGGACTCCACTGAGGAAAGGAGAAGCTAGTAAAGACCCTATTTTAGAAATCCATAGCTTGCTCCCTGGAAACCACACCTCCCATTGCCCTTCTCCTCAGTCACTGGATCACTGCTGTCAGCGTCATACTCAGAGATTTAGGGAAAATGTCCTCCAAATGGTAAAAGTATGAAAAAAAAAAAAAGAAGAAGAACCAGAAAACATGAAAAAGGGAGAATCGTGAAATACAAACATAGAAAAGGCAGAGAAAACAAAATTTTCACATAAAAATGTCAAACATGAACTGGCTTATCAGTTGCCATCAGATCAATCTCAATTCAAAGGGAAAGAGAGACCTGGCAACAGAGCATTGTAAAGTTATTCTCCTAATCTCTGAAAAGAAATAATTACATAAATGCCATCCAAATACCTACTCCATGCCGGACACTGTCTGAGGCTCTTTCTAGCCAGAGACAACTAAGCAGAAACAGATGTCCAGATGCACACTGGAAAATTAGGAAAAACTGAAGCCATAAAAGGTTGCTTAGAATGCTGGAGGAAATGTCTAAATGTTTGGTTTTCTGAAAAGCAAAACCAGCTGAGCTTGCCGCTCACCTCCAGGAGGTCTGCTAAGCCCAGGACCACGTGTTCACTATTGTATTTCTCTGACCAACAGCCAAGCATCAGATAGAAACTGCAGAAAAATCACTGCTAAACCAGAAAAATCACTGTTTTGGAAACAGTGGGCAGCTGGTACAGACTGTGTCGCACAGGTGTGATGTGCTCCGTATGGCTCACGCTTCTGAACAGGCAGACGTTCCAATCTGTCCTAATACAGGCTTGCCAAGGTCTTTCCAGGCTTCCTGCACCGACACATCTCCCTGAGGCTCTGTCCTCTTGCTACCAACTCGAATAGGCTGATGGGGTCAACTGCCAGAAAGCCTAACATAGGACTCTTTCTTAGACTTCTGCAATCGTCCACGCATTCAGAAGTATTAATTGGGTATTTTACCTTAGCTTTTCAGCACCCATGGCTGGTGACAAAAACTCCTCTCCCCAGCCCTTCTTCCAACAGGTGTTAATGTCTATGGTGGTTTGAGTAAGACTGGTCTCCCATAGGCTCGAATATTTGAATGCTTAGGGAGAGGCATTAGGTGTGGCTTTGTCAGAGGAATTCTGTCACTGGGGGTGGGCTTTGGTGTTCCAAATGCTCAAGCCAGGCCCAGTAACTCTCTTGCTGCCGCCTGCTTATCCAGATATAGAACTCTCAGCTCCCTCTCCAGCACCATGTCTGCCTGTGGGTCACCATGTTTCCTGCCATGATGATAATGGACTAAACCTCTGAACCTGTAAGCCAGCCCCATTTAAATGTGTTCCTTTATAAGAAGAATTGCCATGGTTACGGTGTCTCTTCACAGCAATGGAAACTCTAACTAAGACAATGTTCAACAACAATAAGACAAGAAGGAGAATTGGCAAAACAGCACCACCATCTCACCTCAGCCAGAAAAATGAATGGGCCTAGAACCTGGGGAAATCTGAAGGTTCTGAAACCTGGACCTGAAGACTGAGCCCTGATCTCAACATCTTTTGTCCCAGATAAACTTGCCTTCAACTTCTGAAAAAGCCTCCTTCTTGGCTACCTAGCCTAAGATCTTTGGATTTCTAGTGTTTTTCCTCTCTCATTTAAGAAAAGAAAAATAAGCCCTGACACAATGCTGTATTGGGTGACAAAGCAGGAGAAACTTGGTGTACAGCAGAGAATTCACGGATGGGCACACCCATTCAAGAGACGACTCACACAAACTAGAGGATCTGCTTCTGCGTGTGTACTGTCTGCAGGAAGGAGTACAGCACCTGGGATGTCTTAGACCAAGGGTGGGATTCTAAAGTCAGAAGCTACCATGTTTCACAAGGAGAACTGACTAGTCCTTAGACTGTCAGTTCAGAACAGGTTGGCTGATGAGGAGCATACCATAGGCCACTTATGAGCTTTTAGGAAGTATGTTAACCCATCAGGTATGCTAGGATGGGTGCAGATAGTAAATCTGAGCCAGCAACCATAATTCGTCCAACATCCAATGGGCTTTCTGCTGGTCCGTGGCCTTGAGTCACAGTTGCTCTGGTCTTGCCTTCTGGACGACTGTCAGTTGCCACTTTGTAAATTCTTGTGCCAGCCCTGGCCCAGGTTTCTCTAAGTTTTCATTTTCAACGCATTAAGACCTCTGCTTCCTTACATTCTTTCTCCTACCATCTAGGAAGACTAATCTCCTTGCTTCACTATACAGCTACTTAGCCTGCATACATTTTTACCCAGCACCCCCTCAAGTAAATGAGAAAAATAAACTCCAACCCTGGGCGACACTGAGAAGAAAGCCATGCAGACTGACGAGGGCTTTATGTGTTCACATGTAACAACATGTCTGGTGGCTTGCCCCTGACTATTACAGCCAAGGGCATACACAAAGAAAGAGCTCGCTCTCTCTCCCTTCTCTCTCCATCTTCCCCAAGATAACTCTAGCCTCAAGATGGAAACCACAATCAAAAGGATAAGATAAAAATAATTTGTGTAGAGATGATTAGTCATAAAGTATTTTTTTGCTTTTCTTCTTATCAATTACATCAAATGTTAATTATTTTTCAGATTATTGTGCCCAATACCAAAAAGGGGGACCGGATACCCACAGCCTTTATTTTCCCAGGAGGAAAACCTAGGGTTAAAAGAAACAGCTCTCTTCACTTCTCCACACAGAACCCTGACTCCGCCACCGGCTGTAACATGAGCCTGTGCCTTTTAAATGTGGTTCAAAGGTAAAGAGGGCCTTACTGCCTAAACCATCCCTTCCTACCGACATTTAATCTATAGCTTAAAATTTGAATCGACCACCACCAAATAAGAACAAAATAAAAATTAAACACTTTATGTCAATAAAACTGCTTATGAAAATTATATAAACTACAGCATGTTGTGGCAGACATACCTTAAAGTGGATTCTAAAGTTACAGGTTTGTACTATCCTCTCCCCTCCAGAGCAAACAGAATGTGTGACTTGCTTTCAACTAATAGTTCTACAGCAGAGGAGAGGTGAAATGTCCCTCTTGAGACTAGGTTATATTACCTGAAGAAGGAAAGTCTATCTCATCTCAGTCAGAATGGTCATCATTAAGAAAACAAATGACAACAAATGCTGGTGAGGAACCTTTATAGACTACTAATGGGAACATAAACTGATTTTAAGAATCTATGAAATTTAATACACTCTAGCCAGGCAATGGTGGCACACACCTTTAATCTCAGCACTGAGGAGGCAAAGATCGGTGGATTTCTGAACCAGGACAGTCTGGTTCTCAGAGTGAGTTCCAGGGCAGCCAGGGCTATACAGAGAAACCCTGTCTTTTAAAAAAAAAAAAAAAAAGAAAGAAAGAAAAAAAAAAGAAAATTAATATGCTCTGAGGCATTATTCACAATAGCCAGGATAAAAAATCTGCCCAGATACCATCGATGGAAGAAGAAGAAAATGTTATGTACTATATACAATGGATTTGTATTCAGACATAAAAAAGAATGAAATTATTTCATTTGTAGGAAAATGGATAAAGCTGGAAAGCATCAGCATCATATTAAGTAAAATAAGCCAAACAAGAACAAATATCACAATTTTCTATCACAAATAATCTAGATTAAATAAAATATATTTAATATAATATGAGACATGAAAGCAAAATGGACTATTTGGAGGGAGAAAGGAGACAAGTAGTCAGTCGGGGGGCAGAAAATGGGTAGGGGGGTGAATATGAGCAAAATTCAATGATACATATGTATAAAATGCCAATAATTAAATCCATTATTTCATATGCTTTCAAAGAGTGGACTGGAGATATAGCTCAGTTGATAGAGTACTTGCCTAGCACATACAAAGATATAGCTCAGTTGATAGAGTACTTGCCTAGCACATACAAAGCTCTGGATTCACCTCAGCACCGAATAAACCTGGTGTGGTGGTTCATGCTTACAATCCCATCTTTAGGACAGTGATTATCAACCTCCCTAATGCTGCAACCCTTAAATACAGCTCCTCATGTTGTGGTGACCCCAACTGCTGTGGGATGGTCTGTATGGCAAATGTGTTGCTCTGATTGGTCAATAAATAAAACACTGATTGGCCATTGCCTAGGCAGGAAGTATAGGCGGGACAAGGAGGAGAATAAAGCTGGGAAGTGGAAGGCTGAGAGAGACACTGCCAGCCGCCATGATGAGAAACAGCATGTGAAGATGCCGGAAGCCACGAGCCACGTGGCAAGGTATAGATTAATAGAAATGGATTAATTTAAGCTATAAGAACAGTTAGCAAGACGCCTGCCATGGCCATACAGTTTGTAACCAATATAAGTCTCTGTGTTTACTTGGTTGGGTCTGAGTGGCTGTGGGACTGGTGGGTGACAGAGATTTGTCCTGACTGTGGGCCAGGCAGGAAAACTCAAGCTACACCCAACCATAAAATTATTTTCATTGCCATTTCATAACTAATTTTGCCACTGTGGTGAATCATAATGTAAATATCTGATATTTCTGATGGTCTTAGGTGACCCCTGTAAAAGAGTCATTCAACCCCCAAAGGGGTTACAACCCACAGGTTGCTGCTTTAGAACACAGAGGTAGAAGAACGAGAAGTTCAATGTAATTCTCAGCTACTTAACGTATTTGAGGACAGACTAGACAGAAATCACAGGCAGTCTTGGAATTCTTCACGTTTGGTTTATCTCGCAAATTACAAAGAGGGACTGGAGAGATGGCTCAGCAGTTAAGAATGCATGCTGCTCTTGTAGAGGACCTGAGCTTGGTTCCCAGAATACACTCTTATATATCTCTATCCCTTCTACAGGGACCACAGCCATACTCTCAAGTCAAGCCCTCATCATGTATATCTGCACATCATAAGAGCCTGCTAACAGCTCTACCAACCCTATCTGATGGGTGTCACACCCTTTCGATCTGCTTGTGTGCTTTTATTGCTTAAAATCTATAGATCCAGGATATATGTACCTTAGCAAAGATACAAGTCTCCATACTGTCCCATCTCCTGTCATCCGCCACCCGTCACTCAGCCCAGTGTTCTAGACCCACACACCTCCACGGCACTTCTCCGATGTTATGCATGTACTCCTACCCCTTTGCCTATATCCAGGGTGTTCCCTCTACTGAATTTGTGCCTCTTCTTTCAAGACTAGTCTTTAAGTTCATTAACCCTATTTCCCTGCTAAGCTCCCACACGCACTTCCTTACTGTGGCACATAGCTCACCTATCTATAAGTGTTCTTTACTTTCCTAACCTCCCCTAACCTTCAGGCTTCATTAAGGGGAGGCTAAATCACTTCTATGCATCACTTTATCATCAGTATCTGGCACATAGTAGCTACTCAATAAATATTTGAATATCTGGGTAAATAATAGTGGCAGTAATAGTAACAATAATGACCACTCAAGTTAATGTGCCAAGCACTGTTCCAACAACTTTGTGTGTGTTTACTCATTTAGTCCTCATGATAATCCATTAAGAAGTAGTACCACCGCCAGGCAGTGGTGGCGCACACCTTTAATCCCAGCACTCGGGAGACAGAGCCAGGTGGATCTCTGTGAGTTCGAGGCCAGCCTGGGCTACCAAGTGAGTTCCAGGACAGGCACCAAAACTACACAGAGAAACCCTGTCTCGAAAAAACAAAACACAAAACAAAACAAAAAAGAATTAGTACCACCTCTACTTTATACATGGAAAACACACTGTCACTGAGATATTTGCTAATATGTCAAAATTATATACCCAGAAATGACAGTCAGAATCAGAACCTAGACAGTGGACTCCAGTGCCAAAGCTATTTATCAGATCTCCAATTTGACTCATTTTTTTAAATGTTAAGACCTTTTTTCATAAAGTGTGTGTGTGTGTGTGTGTGTGTGTGTGTGTGTGTGTGTGTGTGTATGTGTGTCCATGTGCACCATGGATATGCAGGTGCCCAGAGTAACCAGAAGAGGGCATCAGAGCATCCAGCTCCCCAGAGCTGGAGTTTACAAGGGGCTATAAGTCACCCAGTGTGAGTGCTGGGAACTGAACCCAGGTCCTCTGCAGGAGCAGCAAGAGCTCTCAATCACTGACCATTCCTCTCAACTCTAGAATGTACAATTCAGCCCAAATATCATCTTCTGTGCAACTTTCCCAAAGCAACCAGGCTGAGGTAGATATTGCTCTTCTCATAGAACTCCTCAGATAATATCAGTGTCCATCCAACTTCGCATAATTTGTTCTGTTCAACAAGGTCCTTGGCAAAAGGAACTTCGAGCCTTGTTACTAGTTGTGGTATCTTTGGTGCTATCCACATAGTAAATACTCAAATAACCTTTATGGTTGGATGGATGGATGGACGGATGGATGGATGGATGGATGGATGGATGGACAGCCTGAGCTGGAGCTATCAGCGTTCATTTTCAGATAATCCACCAGGTGGCAGAAGAAGACAATAACTGAACAGCGAATGGGCTGCCTTACCTTTCACACTGGTCACTTTCTTCATGATGGTTTCCTGACCTTGGCACAAGGTCACTGTCACTGTGGCTCCAGGTGTACCAAAGCCCCAGATCACTGCCCCTGAAGGCTCCTTCTGCAGCACCATGTAATTATCGATGTATGAGGCAAAGCGAAAACCAATACCTGAAAACGTTGGCAAACACTTAGGAAAATATCATCAGGGAGATTGAGCACCAAGTGGACCTGGTAAAACAGGAAGTAACATGCAGTCCCTGTACAAAAGAATGACTCTACTCAAGCCTTATAATCTTCCAAAACTAGACCTTGTTGCTCTTAACTAGATAAGCAACATAAGAAGAGTTCCCAACAATAGGCATTGCAGCATAACATGGTCATTAAGGAAAACTTAGACCCCAAGGCAACAACCAATGTACATACTCTCCTTCCCTCCCCTTCATAGTTCTTGATCAACCCCACACCCCACACCTTGCTCTAAAACTTGGCTCTAGCACTTAACTTTTCTTCTTCAAATCACTAAAATGCACCGTCCATGTACCTCACAGATGGTGTTTATAAGAAAAACAAACTACTTCCTTCCCCAACTCTCCATCCCTGTGCCCACTCCTAGTAGCTAGGAAGGAATAGAAAGAAGCCCGTCTCCAATACAGCTTCTCTAATGCTGTGCCCATCTTCATCTCCCCCTTTCCATCTTATCACTGACAAATCCCTTCAAACATTTCTCTTGGTGCTTATTATTGTTGTTTATTTTGTCGTTGCTGTTTGGTTTATTTTATTTGGGGGGGGGGTTGTTTTTATTTTTGTTTGTTTTTTGTTTGTTTCTGTTTTTGATGACCCAGTATACCACACTTATGACTGTGACAATTTATCTTCCTGGTAAGTTCAGATAAATTCAGGACACAAAAATAAGATCATGGAGAGGCAGAAGGTTAAAATCTCAGAGAAAAGGTCTTGTCACCATTTCACAGGCGAAGGAAAGAGGAGGCATACTTGCATATTGGATTCTGTGCTAAGAGTCACTAACAAGACTGAATAAGAATTCACTTTAACGAGATCATTTCTATTTTTAACCCACAGCCTATATTGAAGTACTTTTTAAATAACAAGCATTGATCCACATGTCCCAGTGAGCTCACAGAAATTTAACTAGGAAAATCATAAAACTTACATCCCAATTTGTCTCAACAGGAAAGAGTTTTTTAAAAATTCTCCAAAGAAAATAATTTACAAAATTAAAGGTTGTTTTGTTTTTTCACTTTTTTTTTTTTTTTTAAATAAAAGTGATAGGCAGGAAAGAGAATTAGAATTAACAAAGCCGACATTTTCCTCCCTGGAAGCTACAAAAGATGGCAGGCCCCTTAGGCTATACTTAACAGGGAAGTAGAGCTAATGGGGGTCTCCTCACAAGCTTGGTGGCCTACTTATACTGCTCTTAGAGTTCCAGACTCTAGTGCCTAAAAATCCTCCGCTCTCTTTCTCACTCGGGAGTTCGTTTGATCACAAAGCCTACATGACACTCAAAGTTCATCCAGAAGGCCTAACAAGCTCAAGATGCATGTACCATGAGCAAAATACTCTGGGACCACGACATCCCAGAATTGCATAAGCAGGTTGGCAGCCTGCTGGGGAAACCGGGAGGCATATGTGTGGGAGGGCCCTGTCTTGGGTAGATACAGAACAAAAGCTGAAAAGCAAATGCATAAATAAGAGCTAAGAGCAGAGAGAGGGCTGGAGTCAGAGGGATGGAGGGAAGAAAATGTAGCTTACATATTGGAGTATGCAGCCAGTAGTCCATAGGCTGGGGAATGCCTTTTCAAGCCAGTCTGTGTTTGCCAACACACATTTATAGAACCTCTCCGTGAACGGCTTCATGATGAGCAAAAGAATTTTAAAGGTGGAAACTATCTGATAATAATAGTATAAATCGTGTTACTTACTGATCAAGAGATATAAACACATTACCCATTAAGGGACTAGGGCACAACTAAATTAAGCAATTTTTTTTAAGAATAGTTAGAACAGCTGTGAATTCAACAAATATCTCTTTATGGATACCTACTGTGTGCCAGACACTATTTTACACACTGAGGCTGTAACGGCGAAGGGAAAATACTACCAATAATAGATTAAAAAAAAATTCTTGCTGCCAGTGATTTTACAGTCTACTAGGGGCTTACACATGTGACGGCGTGCTTAAGATACTGGAGACACTAATTTTTCTGACTGGCCTCAGAAGGTAGTTTATGACAGCATTAGAATCCATGTCATCTAATTCCAAAGGTATTATAACTTCCCTTTTTGCTTCAGTTAGATTGTGACGATAATGCAAAGAAAAACTATATACTCTATCCTTACAAAGCTCGCATTCTAAGTTAAACAGACAGTGAAACATACTGAGGAACTGAGCAAGGGGCAGAAAAGAATGGCATATCTCCAACAACCATGAATATTCAGACATGAATTTTTTTTAAGGTGTTGGATTTCTCCCTTCCTTTGGGAAGTGAAGTAGAAAACAGGAATGAGTGCTGTGGGGAAGACGCAATCATTACAAGCAGACTAACAAACATTTTAGGGAAGTTGGTTGCCTCTGATGGGAAGCCAACCGATGTACTAGTGAAGAGCACACCGGCAGTCTTGATAAAAGCCACCGAGTTGTAGTCCTCAAACTGAGTGGTGAGTTCATAGGTAACTCTCATTGCTAAATGTAACTTTTTATTACATTAGAAACATGAGCAAAAGGGGAGAGTTAAAGGAAAGATATTAGGATATACAAGGAAGAAGGGAGGGCGAGAAATCTGGAGCATGAATGGATACTGTCAAGTGCAAATCAAGGTCATGTAATATGGCCCAAAGGAAATAAAACAATGATAGTAAATATGACAGGCCTTAAGAGAAAAACTAAGAAAACAGTGGCTTACTGTCTGTACCTTCTCCCTGCCTCCTATGATAGGTCCAAAGATCATGAGAGGGATGAGAAACGGGACTGACCACTACAGTGCACTCACTAGCTTTGAAACTCTGAAAACCCACTGATGGGCTGGGTCTGTCTGGTACTTGAGTAGAACCCAATCATGCCATTTCTTCTCACCTCAACCTTCATTTCTTTTATTTACTGTGGTGAAGAACGTCCAAATTCCTAGCATTCTAGCCAAGAGCTCTAACCCCACTGAGCTATAATCCCAACTCCCTAAATTTCATTTATTGACAGTCTTTGGGGTCCACCCTTTCAGTGATCCAAAGAAGAAAGTGGGTGGATCCAGCATTATCACTCTACTTTGAATGAACAGACAGATTCCTGTCTTCTGGTATCTCCACTCTGACGGGCAATGTCCAGCTCAGGTTAGTCAGATGACAAGCCCTGGCCTGTAGAATAGCCAATGTGAGTTAGTCCCCTCCCCAGTGTGATGAGCCTTATCCCTCCACCAATCTCTCTAAGCTGCACCAAAATTCAGAGCTAAACCTTAAATTATTCTGAGCTAGTGAGGGGGTTGTATTTCTTAGCCCTAATAACCACTTAACTTGTAAAATTTAATTCCCTCAAGGCACCCATCCCGATAGAAGCCCTCCCCAAGGGTACCACTGAGGGGGCAGGTGCTGAAGTATTTTGGATGACTCAGTCACCTGTTTCCAAATATTATCTAACTAGCTTCGCCCCCTTCTCTCGGAGCTCTCCTGAAGACTTCGGTCTGGGCACATTGGAGCCTCTTCAATTTGATAAACCAAAGTCTCCCTCTGGCCCCTATGCTGCAAGCGAAGGACCGACCGTGGGTGGGGATAAAGTCAGCAGGCGGCCCAGCAGTACCTGCACGCCAGGCCTAGGTTGGGAAAGACCGGTTCTGACTCAAACCAGACCTTGAGAGGGAACGAGAGCCAAGATCCTGCAGAGGACCTGAAAGGCAAAGGTCCCACAGAGCCGTGTCACCTCACCTGCACTTCTGCTGGCTCGAACGATTACGAGCAGCAGCAGGCCAAACACAGCCCCCCGGGAAACCATTCTTGCGGAAGTCCGTGTCTAGTGCTGGACTCCGGACGGGCCCCTAGGCAGGGGCAGTGACGGGGGCGTGGCCTGGGTAGGGGCGGAGCCTGGGCGGGGTCACATAGCGGGCCCCACCCTCGAGCTCTCAGTACGCGAAACCATCCGCGGCTCAACACAGGGCGCTCCCCCTCTCCTCCCGGCCGCCGTAGTTAAAAAAAAAAAAAAAAAAAAAAAACGGTTACCCAGCAACGAGATAAAACAACTGGAACCATCCGCACCAGCTAGAAGAGAAAGAAGAGGTGAGGCGGTTTCCCCCATTCCCTCTCCAACGTGGAGGCTTCGCCTTTTCCTTCGTGTGTCCGAGCCACTCGGCATCCCTGACACTCACTCCCTCGACTCCTGGAGCACACAGGGAGCCCGGAAAGCCCTTTCTTGGAGAATCTGGAACCTTAGGTCGTCGACGTCCCGCCCACGGTTTGACCTGTCTTCCCCCTCTACCGCCCGCGCTCTCCCGCCGGGCTCAGGGCTTTTCACAACCCTCGAAGATTCGATATTTAATCCCCTGTTTCCGCCCAACAGAGAGAAAGGGAAATCTCCCACAGGTCAGGCCTCGTTAAAGCCCCAGCCTAGACCCCTCCCAACCAACGCCCCTTTGTGCCTCTCAGGGTCACAAACCCAGTCCCCAAGCAGCCAGTGTCAACTACAGTTAAACCAGCCCTTGACTTTAAAAAGTGAAATTTTATTCAACAAATTATAATAATTTCTAGAACCAAGACTAGGTTTGTTTGGTTGGTTGGTTTGGTTTGTTTCGAGACAAGGTTTCTTTGTGTAGCCCTGGCTGTCCTGGAACTCGCCCTGTAGACCAGGCTGGCCTCGAACTCACAGATCCACCTGACTGTCTCCCAAGTGCTGGGGTTAGAGGAGTGCCCCACCGCGCCCGGCTGACCATTTTGTTTTTTTTAATTTTAACCTTTAAACAGTTTCTTAGCAGTATACAAGGGACTATACTAGCTTCCCAGCAGTCATTATCTCTTAAATATTGCGGACTAGCAAAATCAACCCTCACCTCTTAAGAACAGAAAGACGAATTTAACATCTAGTGGAAACTGTGGTTTTCTAACTTTTAAAAAAAATTGATTTGTCCAAATTAGTGGATCTGCTTTTTTGTTTTGTTTTGTTTTTTGGGGTTTTTTTTGTTTTTGTTTTTGTTTTTCGAGACAGGGTTTCTCTGTGTAGCTTTGCGCCTTTCCTGGAACTCACTCTATAGCCCAGGCTGGCCTCGAACTCACAGAGATCCGCCTGGCTCTGCCTCCCGAGTGCTGGGATTAAAGGCGTGCGCCACCACCGCCCCGCTGGATCTTCATTTATAATCCTATAATTCTCCGGCTGTGGTGTCGCATGTCTTTTAATCCCAGCACTTGGCAGACAGAAGTCAGTGGATCTCCGAGTTAGAGGACAGACTGGGCTACATAGTGAGTTCCAGGACAGCCAGGTCTATGTAGAGACACCCTGTCTCAAAAGGAAAAACAAAACAAAACAAAAACCAATGATTCATGATAGAATTCAAAACTCTAGAAGAAACGTGTAGACTTGGTTGGGGGTGAATTTCGTTTTCATTTATTGAGTGTGCATGTGTGTATGGATGTAACCTTGGGGACACAGCCTGCCTATGGAAGTCCAAGGACAGTTTGTGGGAGTCGGTTCTCTCCTCTCACAACATGGGTTGCAGGGCTTTCGTTCAGGTCTGCCTTTACCTACTGAGATAGATCACCACCAGGCCTGGATCAAATGAACTTTTCTTTTTAAAATCCAAACTATGTGTGTCTCAGAAATAATTTGAGTTGTGATTGTGAGTTGGTTTGTCATAGCTGTGATTATGTAATTTAAATTAGACACATTAAAATTAGATACTTTTTACTGAATCTTCAGGTTCCATAGGCAATTCTTTCCAAGGAGATGTCGATTCCCTTCTCCAACACCCACTACCGAATTCCACAAGGATTTGGAAATCTTCTTGAAGGGCTGACCCGGGAGATTCTGAGGGAGCAACCGAGCAACATACCAGCTTTTGCCGCAGCGTATTTTGAAAACCTTCTAGAAAAAAGAGAGAGTAAGCTCTTTTTTAAAAAAAATAGGAATTTTTAAATAAACTAAGAATTTCATGATGGTTAAACTTAGAATTGAGGAATATACCTGTCTCTGGCCTGTGATCTCCACACATATGCAAACACGTGTCCACACACCCCAACACGCATACACACACACACACACACACACACACACACACACACACACACACACACACACGGGAACAAAAAAAACATACACATACACAAAAAAGAAAACAATAACAGCAACAACAGAAACTTAAGATTGTGTTCATTGTGCAGAAAGCCTTTAGGAGGTAAGCGGTCTCAAACACAGTTCCTGCTGTTTGAAACAGTGTGTACCAGTTCCCTCCCCAGGCCACCCTTAGCATGTCTCAGCTATACGGTGGTGAAGGAGGTAGATCTGTTCTTATGCATCCCTCCTAGCTGACTGCCTGCTCTTCCTGAGAGGATAATTTGCAGTTTTCTTTAAATTTTGATTCTTCTCATTTGAAAGTATTATAAGTGTTATAAAAATAATTCAACCCTCCTTAGATTAGATAAATTGGTTTTCGCTGGGGTATATGAAACTGTTCTTCAGCAAAGGCACAGAAACAAATTGCTTGGGCAAGTGAATTGCCAGTTGGGGAAGGTAATTTACATTCTATATACTCTCCAGGTCCCAACCTGCATAGAGACTAAGGTTTATACTAATAGTAACTATTTGATTTCGAGCCAAAGTGAGTTCCTACACTTCCGTTCATAAATACAGTTTCCAGATCCCAGCCTTGAAGATTCATGACTCTGAGGTCATGAATGGGTCAAAAGGGGAATGATCACAATCCTAAATTTGTACTGAGAACCTGCTCTTGCCTGGAACAATCATGTTATAGGAGCTTTGTTATTATTACTTTGGGCAGAGAAGACTAGAAACAGCCCCAGGCAGACAGACACTCCTTTGTAAATCATTTTACAGAGGGAAGAACCCAGAGCGAGGCTAGAATCAAAACAACTCCCATCCACACCAAACAACTCCACCCCGTCCCTTATGATCCTGCCTTTGAAGAACTCCAAATTTCACCGATTTCCTGACTACTGCTGGTCTGTCCCATATCTAGTCAGGGTGAATATTTGCTGCACAGTCTTCAACATTAGCAGAGAAAAGCTATTAAAATCGTTTAGTTAAAAGTAGTAGTTTTTGTAAACATGAATTTTGTTATCATAATATTAATTTTGCAGATTCATGCAGTAAAAATCTTTGGGCATTTGTTTAATTTTAGAACTTAGAAACATACCATTAAAAAAAATATTTGAGTCACTGTTACCAGGTCACAGTAATAAAAACAATTGGTGACGAACAGCCCCAGAATCCTGGCTCTCTGATAAACAAATGATGAAAACCATTTGAAAACAATTAACCACCACACCCACTTCCACCTATGTCAACTGAACGTGAATTTCCAACTGATGCAGTGTAAGAATTTAGCCTTCCCCAGCAAAGCCAAAATAAATCATCATGGATTTCTAATCCAATCTCCCAACCTGCAAGAATTCCCTTGCCACCATTTTTCACAGGTCTTCATTTTTGTGGCAGGAAACCTGTTCATAAACAGTGTGAATGGTCTCTCAAATCAGTAGGAGAAAATGGGCTCTTAAATGATGCTGAGATAAAAATGGAAAAACAAAATAGCATCAATTCTTTATATCATACATCCAGATAAATTATAAATTGACTCCAGATTTAAATATGAAAAGGAAACCATATCGATGCCAGGAGAAAGTGTAATTCATCACCTAAGAAAACACCTGGTTTGCTAAGTTGCCTTCTTTGCTTCAAAGCCCCAAACAGCAAGGGAGCAGATGGATAGAACTGACAACAGAAAAAGGGAACGTGTATGTGGCAAAGCACCAGAAAGAAAACAAAACCACAGATAACAAACTGAGAAAAAATGCTTGCAGTTTACGTCCCAGTAAGTTAATAAACCTAATAAAGAGCTTGTAAAAATAGTGTGTCCTAACTCATTAATACCAAGAGATATCAACAAACAGTTCACACAAAGGCAAACACAGATAGCCCCTAACATGAAAATTTGGTCAAACTGGACCATAATAACAATTCAAGTCAAAATTTCACTCAACTGGGGATAGAGAGATGGTTTAGGAGTAAAGAGCGCTTACTGCTCTTCCAAAGGACCCAAGTTCAGACAGCAGTCCCACTCCTGGCCACTCACGCCTGCCTGTGACTACAGTTCCAGGGACTCTGACTTCCCCTTGTTTCCATAGGCACACACACAAATACACATAATGAAACGAAATACACCGGATGCCAACAGCCACTCCTGCATCATACTGTCAGAAAGCCAAAAGTTCGACAGTAGAGTTTGTAGATAAGGCTGAGAGAAATAAGCCCTCACACCCGTTCTACTAGAGATGTAAAGCAAAATCTAAATACTGTATCTGCCAAAATTCCATATTTATTTAACCTGTATCCCAGAAGCTCCACCTCTACACTTTTCATTCTAGTATTGTTTGTGAGAACAACCCAAATACACATATTAGGTGGTTTTTGTTTCATTTTTGTACCGGCCCAAACAACAAGGCAAATCAGTCCTTAATACCTTTAAAGTTGTCAACCAAAATATACCGTTCCTCTTTTAAGTCGATTTAGCACAGGTACTTGTGACAGTGATAAAAGCTGACTAATGTGGAGAGTTATTCCAGAAACTTTGTAACTGTTTATGGAAGAACAAACCAAGTAAGTATGCTACTGTTGTTGGGAATGAAATTTGGAGTATAAGAAAAAAATTATAGTTAGTTTAATAAAACCCTGTAATCTTGAACCTGAATTTAGAAATACCAGTGAGATCTTTTCTCTTTTGTAATGGAAGCAGCTCAGAGTGCGGCTCCTGGTGAAAAGCCAGAAGACTCACACGGTGTAAGGACAGGGCAGAATCCTGAAATTGGTCATCTGACTTCCGTGTGTCATAGCATGCTCCTGCCCATACATATATAGAAACATGCACTTACAGACTCACGCCTGCACACACTATTTTAAAATGTATTTTTTAATGGAAGTCTTTTCTGGCTCCCTACATTTTGAAACCTCAAAACCATGACTAACTAACTGTTAGTGGCTAATATCCCCTATATTATCACCTCTGAATACTATTTCCCATGAACCAAACTTGCAATTAGTGCCATACATGTGGGATAAATATGTAAGAATAGGCTGACCATCTTTCCATCCCACAAAACAAGCTCCTAATGATTTTTAGGATTGCTAGCAAAGGCCTGAAGAGCATCCAAGCACATGAATAAGCCATCACTGACCAAATTTTGGACAAAGAGAGAATCAAGAAAAATAATAAAACTCCATGGACCAGAATTCACCCAGGTTACTAAACATTTGTGAACTCATAATGCTAAAATAAGTCACAAAGAACTCACCATCAGGCCACCTAGGAAAGTACTGGGAGCCAGCTGGTTATTCTGAAAGCTGGTAAAGGAATCAAACCTGTAACCTTCTTGGTTTTTTGTTGTTGTTGTTTGGTTTTTTTTTTTTTTGTTTTTTTAAAGACAGGGTTTCTCTGTAGCTTTGGAGCCTATCCTGGACTAGCTCTGTAGACCAGGCTGGCCTCGAACTCACAGAGATCCTCCTCCTCTACCTCCCCAGTGCTGGGATTACAGGCGTGCGCCACCACCGCCCGGCCCTTCTTGTTTTTGTAAGAGCCATATTTCAAGGTAACCAAATGGTTGACTGTTTTCTTTATTGAGTCCACCCCAAAATAAGTACTGATTAATTTAGAATGTTATCAGTTTGTACTCCTAAATAAGTTCAGGAACAATCATCAAGGGCCTAAAAAATTATTTAAAAACTAAAGAGAGCAGGATATGAGTTATCTTCTGAGATTAAGTACCACTACCAATGAGTATTCTTGCCAAAACAATCAAACCTAAATCAGATGAAGCCTGCAAATCTAACTACCAATCTACAGGGAATTCAAGGGCAAATGACCCTGTTAAAATCCCTTGTGTGTAGACAGTTGGAAATATCTGCACTGGAAAATTCCAAAGGAAAACTGACCCAATTTCATCAACAAATAAATTGCACAATAAAATAAGATGGTGGTGAATTTTCCACTAAAAATTCTTTAAGGCATAACAAAAGGCCTTATGTGTCCATTTTGAGGCTCTGATAGGATTAAGATAAATATATTAGACAATGGGGACAATTTTGGATAGTTGGCTAGATACAGGATGATTGTAAGAAATTGTTAATATTTTAGATATGTTCATGATACATGCTTATATTGTAAAGACTCTTTTAGAGGTACAAATTTAAATATCTCTTGATTAATGAATATGGTATTTGGGGTTGGCCTGAAAATAACCAGAAGAAAATGTATAGATAAGATAATAAACCATGAATGGATCATTGTAGCCTCTATGTAACGTGCACATGGGGCCTGTTAGAGCATCCTACTTTTGGAGTTTGAAATTCTTCATGATGGAAAACTAAAGAAAATTATCTTTGGATGGAAATACTTCTTGTCTATGTTAACTGTCTCCATAATGTGTCTCATTTGAAAACTTTTACTTTTCACTTTTCCAGACTCCCTGATTCCTTACTGTATTTTACATACTTTTATGCAGTTGCTAATGCGTGTTTTAGGTGTCTATTTATTTAGAATATTGACATTTGTTCTTTCTCTCTCATTTCCTTATGAGTAAATATTCCTGGAAGGCTCATTCAGTGTTAAACTCATCGTCATAATTATTATTTAGTAATTATTTATGCAGCACTGGGCTGTTCAATGTCAGTAAGATTTTCAGCCATCAGTAAAGAACCTCTGATTTGAAACAAGAAACTCGTGTTCCTGTATTGTTCTAGATTCACTATAATGAACACAAAATAAGTATAAAATTATTTTTATTATTTAGAAACCAACTTTGATCCAGCAGAATGGGGGGCGAAGCTAGACGACCGCTTCTATAACAACCACGCATTCAAGGTACAGTCCTATGAAGCTACCAAATTTGGCTATATTTTTTCTATCTATAAAAGAAATTATTAATGTCTCCCCCAATTTTTGAGAAGTGTGTCAAACATTATTAATAACTTAATAAAACTTCTTGATAATGAGAAATAATCTTCTGAACTATCTGAATTGAGTACCGATCCTTCACATGAACTTAAAGATGACCAACAGGAGTAGGAGCTTGATTATCACACAGTTACTCCCATCTCTTATTCTTTAAACTGTATTGAGCATCACAAGTCAAGAATTATATTCCATAAAATAAGACATTATTAGTCCAACTTTTTTATTTACATATTACAAAAAGACTAATTTGAATTAAATATAATGGTAATGGTACACGCTTTTAATCTCGGGACTTGGGGGCAGAGGCAGGAGGATCTCTAAGTTCTAGACCAGCCTGGTTTACAGAGCAAGTTCCAGGACAACCAGGACTACACAGAGAAACCCTGTCTCAAGATAGCAACAGCAATAACAACAACAACAAAAAGACAATAAATTAAAATTTTTTAGAGTACTACTCTAGACAGCTGAAAAATATCATTTTCTCAGATGTTAGACTCCAGCGACATTGGCAAAGTTCAGACTTTAATGTAGGCCAGTAGATTTGGAGAATGTCTTGTAGAAGCTGTTACTTTGCATTCAAAAGTGAATTTCTGTCCATTTATACATGCTTGTATGAGGCTGATGCTTTTATTTCTAGTTTTCAGACTATCTGCACTCATGGGTTTTTGGGTTTTTTTAAATTGAGATCAAAGAGATAATATTGAAAATGTTATGCCCTTGTGTCATATAGAAAATTCAAGGTGTTTCTTTTACTTTGGGTTTCCAGAGTTTTATGTTATTCCTTTAATTTACATATCCTCAGTTTTCCATTTTCCATGTTAAAGCCTCTCTTCCCGAAGGCAGTGAGCTAGCAGTGCCTGTATTTGGTAGAAGACTGGACTAGTCATGTCAAAACAGACTGAGCTGGCTCCTTCTTTATGCATACATCTTTTTCCAAAGTGAAACTCACTTCCCTGGTTTAATATATTATTGATTTTAATTGCATAAAATAATAGTTGACATTTTCATGAATGCACATAAGGTGCTTTGATCAAATTCATCCTCTAATACCTTCTCTTCTGTACTATTGACTTAGTTTTTAATCTATAATTATCATTAAAAAGTCAACCTGGCTTCATATTATGGAATACAATGACTTTTATTGCTATTGTAGAAACTATAAACTTTTTTCCCTACGGTCCTCAAGATTTATTACCAAACCTTATCAACTTTCAGTGTGAGGCAGTCGTTTATCCCTTGAGTTTTCCTTCACTTCCATTTATTCCAAGACAAATTCTTGTTAAAAAAAAAACTAATATATCTTTAATTTCCCATGCTTCTCAATGCCTTAACTTCCCGTTTCCCTTAAGCAGAATAGTCCAAGAGTTTGCTATCTTCAAAACAATGCCTATGTGGCCCTCTTTTCTCTTTCTAGGACCCAGAACAAACTGAGAAATGTGAACAAGAAGTGTCCAAGTCACCCGAGAGAGAGGAAACACCAGTTATGGCCTTTGTATGTAGTATTTTCCACTTACTTTTGTATTCCTACACACAATGGCATCGCTAAGTTTAAAGTTATGCACAAAATATATATCAATGTTAGTTATATTATTGAAATTAGAATTGTGCTTTCTAGATAGATACTTAACATCGGTGATAAACAGATTATTTTCATAAACTCATTCTTCCCTTTAGAAATCTAGATCAGGCCGGGCGGTGGTGGTGCACGCCTTTAATCCCAGCACTTGGGAGGCAGAGCCAGGCGGATCTCTGTGAGTTCGAGGCCAGCTTGGGCTACCAAGTGAGTCCCAGGAAAGGCGCAAAGCTACACAGAGAAACCCTGTCTTGAAAAACCAAAAAAAAAAAAAAAAAAAAAAAAAAAAAAAAATCTAGATCAGAAAATCTTTCCATGGGAAAGAGACAGACAGCTGAACTTGGGCCTCCTCTCGTCTTTCATATTAATATTCCGCTTGGGGAATTTTTCCACGGCTTGTTGCTGTTGCCACCCACCACACAAAGGCAAAGGTTAGAGATAATGAAAGGAAAGCACTTACACACCACCAAATAAAATGGCCTTACACAGCCTGGCCTACTCATGGTCCCTGCAAGGTCTTCTATAAAAGTGCTTTCCTGCCTTGATATTCTCCATCCAAGCCACCCAGAAATAGGAAAATCCACCCTCAAAGATACTGCCTCTCTCTATTCAGGGGTGTGCTAAAGCCATTACTTGGAGACAATTGTGCACAGTGCAACAAACTTCATTTCGATTACTTAAAATCAGCCACCTTAGAGTATTGAGACTAAGGTAAACACTACAAACCAGAGCTTTGGTGGTATTTTAGGAGGATAATGCTGTTTTGTTCTATTATTTCTCTGTAGAGCCAGTTAAACATTTTCAAAAACATCATTGCCTGGACTCTTCATAGTCCAAACTAAGAAAAACCAGGCTTTGCCAGGCGATGGTGGTGCACGCCTTTAATCCCATTACTTAGGAGGCAGAGGCAGGCGGATCTCTGTGAGTTCGAGGCCAGTCTGATCCACAGAGCAATTTCCAGGACAGCCAAGGCTACACAAAGTAACTCCGTCTCAAAAAAACAAAAAACAAAAAAAAAAAAAGAAAAAGAAAAAGGAAAACCAGGTTTTGTATAAAAGAATTAATTCTGTACAATGTCAGAGTTCAAATGTTTGAGTTCCTTTTCCTGTCTTAGTATCTGTTAAGGATATTGATACCTAAAATGAACAACACCCATTCAGACACAACTTTCCCTTACATTATTTAACTGTTGTAGAATAATACTCATACAACCCAATTAGTCTAACCATGGCATCAGATGTAGTAGGAATTCAGGGAGTACAGAAAGACAGAGTCATTTCCTTACTTCTCTTGTAAAGGCTCTTTTATAAGCTATTCCAAGTTTGTGTTAAGGTGCCATTAATTTTTAACTTAAGAGTAGTTCACTTATTCATATTAGAGAATCCTCTCAAAGAATTTTATGCCTGTCTGTTTGTATTTAAAAGTTTTGTTGGTAATGGAGGGGATTGAACAGCTCAAAGTTCCGTCAGTAGTTGACTGAATGACTAAATCAGGACAATGGAACACAGTGGCCATGCCCCTCCCATCAAAACTGAGCAAAATTATATATGAGATAACCGCATAGAAAAGAGAACCCAGATATGATGTTTCATGGGGAAAGTAGCTGTAGAGCATTCCAATTAGTGTGGTCTTGTTTTCAAAATGAAAAACAAATGTGTCTTCACGTAAATGGACTCAAACATAAAAGAGATTTTGGAAGGGTGTATAAGCATACACAAATACACACAGAGACATGCAGCCTACAATAATGGTAACTTTTTAGGAGCAAGATTTGAGGATGTGAAAATGTTTCAACTTTTCACTACAAGTGATTAACTTGAGCATTTTTTTTTTTTTTTGAGACAGGGTTTCTCTGTGTAGCTTTGCGCCTTTCCTGGATCTCGCTCTGTAGACCAGGCTGGCCTTGAACTCACAAAGATCCGCCTGCCTCTGCCTCCCAAGTGCTGGGATTAAAGGCGTGCGCCACCACCGCCCAGCAACTTGAGCACTTTTAATGTGTGTTTATTATCTTTGTAGCTTAAAAAAGATACATTAAGGGCCATATATATTTTCAGTTCTACATTTAGGATCCATGAATTTTGCCATCTGTAAATTATACCTAAATTTAAAAGAAAAAGGAGAAACTGTATGTCACTGTTTAGCCAACTCTGATAAACCCAGTATTAGTAAACTGACTTTCTCTTTGATGTTCCACCTCTAAATGTATGATTTTAATTGTCTAAACATTTAGAAATTAGAATTAACATCTTAATCCATCTTATATAACCACGATTACTTCAAAACAGCACATGTACTGATGTTAACACAGACACAATGCTATTTCTTAGGAAACTTTAAATAGGTACTATCTGGGAACAAGAGAGAAGAGGTTGACAACGATCTTGTATTAAGATGTATTAAAGAGTGGCAAGTTGAATCCCCGCTCTTTGGGCTGAATTCAGCCTTCGTTACACACACAATGTGACAATGTGTGAACACCACCCCCCACCAACCAGGAAGCAACAGACCTCAAATAGTTGCATCTAGAAATTAGTTAAATCTATAGACCCATTTCTGCAGCATCAAAAAAGCAGCATTCTGGAAAAGTCTCTCACTTTCTCTCCTTTTAATGAAGGAGTCTACTGAGGAAGAAAGAGAAAAGGAGGAGTTCGCTGCTGTGAAAATTCAGTCAGTCTTCCGGGGACATCAGGCCAGAGAAGAGGTAAAGAAAATGAAGTCAGAAGATAAGAGTGAACAGGCGAAAGGAGAGGAAAACAAGTGAGGACACTGCCCCCCCCCCCCCCCCGAAAACATGAAAAGTACTCCAAATCCATCACTGTTGTGATTGTCATTTTTTTCCTCAGTAAGGGAAATTTGATGTTGTGGAATAACATTTGTTGCTGCTGTGAAAATCTGTCATGAGCATTTGTTTAATAAACATGCCATTGAAACACACCCCTTGAAGATTTCCCTGGGAACAGGAGAATTGTCTCTGCTTGTCCCCAGCCTGTGTATAAACACCTTTGATATCAGCATCTGAACAGTAGCACCTGAGGCTTCAGCCTGGGGTTGTGTGGTCTGATACCTAGTGAGTAAAGCCGCTCCACCCCACTCCTGGATGCTGGCTTCAGTTCATGTTTCTCTTCTGCTGGTAACCTCAGTGCCTTTTAAGTATAGTCTGCCTTCTGTTTTTTCTTGGTGATGGTGGTGGTAGTGAACCCCAGAGCCTGGACTGAGCTATATACTGAGCCCTGAGGTTTGTTCTTTTTTAATAGTTTGAGTTGTTATAAAGATAAGTAAAGATCCTGCCTTCCTGTAAATTGTACCCACTGATGTTCACTTGTCATAACAAGCAATCATTCATTGAAAATGTATTGCAGACCATTTATGTGCTGGATCAGTGGTGAATATTTGCTGCTTTGACCACACAGCTTACAGTTTTATTTTGTGTTCTGTCTTCTTGAGACAGGGCTTGAGTATGTAGCCCTCCCTGAAAGTCTTTTTTGCTCGTTACTATCAATTCCAACCACTCGACACTGATGGCCCTCTAAACTCAACCGCTGGGCTCCTTTTTAATATTCACCTGTGCATGGCATCCAGTCTCATGACTTCCTAAACCATCTCCACATACTTGCCAGACTTTGCATCCCTCCAGCTCCAACCTTGTATAGCCAACTACCACTTAAAATTCCTATTGGGGTGTCAGGTTTCTCAAAATGAACTTGCCCAAACAACTCCTGATATTGCCATCTCCAGGCTGTAGTTCTCTTGGTGGTTCCCGCTACAGAAAATAGTGTTCTATGTAGTCTGGAGAATGGTCTATGATAGCCATACTTACAGTTTTGAATGAGTGAGTTTATTAAGTAGATAGTACGCCTAACATAAAAGAATAAATGGGGATGAATGACAGAGGATAAATGGATAGACAGACAGACAGACAGACAGAAACTGAATGCTTATTAAAACATGTAGCAGAAATCAACTGGTAGAGCCCCTTGAGGCAGCCAGCTGGAGTTCCTGGCAGAGAGCATCCTGGGCAAGAACAGTGTCCCCTGGTGAGGCTTCTAAGTGAAAGAACAAATAGCAGCAGGTATAGATGACATCATCAAAGTGGGCATTCCCGCTATCCAGCAGAAACCAACCAGAGAAACTGAGGCTATCAGTTGGAGTTCCCAGTTGAGCTTCCTGTCCATGGATGAGATTTCCCATGGCTGAACTTGTGGATTCTCCTTATAGGGTGGGTAAACAATGAAGCAGAGTAACATCTGTTGGAGGCACTTCACCTTCTATCTAGCTGGTTTCAGGGGAAAGTTTTTACTCTTGGGCTGTTTTGAGGTTCTCTTCTCTCCCTGTCACATAGATATGGGGCAGCCCAACCTCAGACAAGTGGCTTAGGAAGGACCCTTTTGTTTGTTTTTTGTAGACAGGGTCTCTCTGTGTAGCTTTAGCTGTCCTGGAACTCACTCTGTAGACCAGGCTGGCCTGGAACTCACAGAGATCTGCCTGCCTCTGCCTTCAGAGTGCTGGAATTAAAGGCGTGCACCAGTACACCTGGTTTGGAGGACACTTTTGAGACAGACATGTCTGAAAATGGATGTTGGGGCAAACCAGCTTCCAGTGCCAGCTTCTCAGTGAATTCAAACAACACATGATAACTTACAAATACAACGTACATTGCAAATGGCCACTCCTGTCGGGGTGTTGAAGAAAGAAGGCACTCCAAGATGAAATTTTAAGGCCTATGTGGCAGCAGGAAGGTCCAGCCTCTCTGATAAACTGAACCCCAAACAGCCATACAAAGGCATATTTACTGAAAGTTATGCAAAGTATTTCCTCATACTAAGGTCCATAATCTAATTTACATGTCTTACTAAAGGAGAGCATCACATATCCCCATGACTCTAGTCCTTTATTATGTATCATTCGCAGAAATACACAATAATACAAGAGCCTCTGGTTGCCTAAAGCATCTTGTGACCAAAGTCATGGGGTGGCTACAATGCCCCTTCAGCAAAGCAATCACTGTCTTCCACAAGGATTCTTCAAGGTCAAAGTACTTCTAAAAAACAGCTGTTCATTTTAATATCTACCCCGAATAGAGCGACTGTGCTAAATTCCTACAACACACTCCATTCTTCCATTTTTCCAGGCCCAACTCTCGAGATTCATCCTTAACTCATCACTTTCTCTCCCATCAAATAAAGGCTCGGCAAATCTGTGGGATCTCCCTAGGAAGTACACTCAGAAGCTGAACACCTTTCAACATTCCCGTTGTACACATTGATCCTAGTTCCCATCATCCCTCCTGTGCATTACTACAGTAGCCTTAACATCGAGGCATACCGTGTGCTCCCATCTCAGGTCACCTGCAGTGCCTCTGCTGAGAGGTGCAACCCCAGACAAGCCCTTCCCATGATGGCCACAGAAGCAAAAGCAGGAAGACCACAGGCAAATATTTCAAGTCTTTGCACCTGTCGCTTGTGCTCCAATCCCGTTGACCAAAGAAAGTCATTTGGCCAAATACAAAGTCAAAAGGATAACCCCTCACCTATTTGCAGCATAACAAAAGATTCTGTATACAAAATACTATTTTAGTTTAGGGTAGGGAGTAATGGGGACCAATTTAACCTTCTGTAGTCTGCTTTCTTGGTTATAATTAACATCCTCCCCACATGCGAAATACATTCACTCTTGACCCTAACCCCCTAAAAGGTCTATCAAATCTTTCAAGTCTAGAAGCTCATGATCTCTACCAGGTCCAGGTGTCCCTTTTCCTGATGTAAAAACCTTTGAATTAAAAAACCAAGTAATAGTCACAATGATGAAATTCCACTGAGTAGTCAGGTCCTGTGTCAGGTAAAAGGTGAAATAATGTTTCATGAATAGACATCTGGTTCGTCCCCTGTACCTGGATCCCAAGTTTTCCTCAGGTATTTGTCAAGAACAGTGGGGTTTCTCAAACTGTTTCCTGTTTGTAGGAAATTGAGGGCCTAAGGAGCTGTTTATAACTTACAGGAGTTTTTCTCTCTTTTAGTTGGTGTTAATACTTATTTTTAAATGACTTCTAAGCTTTATTTTTATTTTGTATGTATGAGTGTTTTGGCTGGGTGTATGTATGTGCACCAACTGTGTGCCTGATGCCTTTGGAGATCAAAAAAGATGTCCTGAAATTGAAATTACAGATGGTTGTGAGCTGCCATGTTAGTGCTAGGAATGGAACCTGTGTCCTCTGCAAGAGCTGAGACATCTCTCCAGGCATTAGGTAATACTGTGCTAATAAAGTTATCTTTAAATTAGTGAAGTACCTATGTATTTGACTACCATCAACTCTATGTACTAAAAGCTAGAACACACACACACACACACACACACACACACACAGGTTTAATTATGGAGGCTCAGAACGGTATGCCATCAGTAAGCAGGAGAATCAGGAAACCCAGTTATGGAATTCAGTCAGAATCAGAAGGCTCAGGAGAACCAGGTGCCAAAAGTGTAATTCTCAGTCCAAGACCAAAGGCCTGACAATGGGAAGGTGCCTGTGCTGTAAGTCCTGGAGTAAAAGAGGTCTGAGTCCAGAAGCTCTGCTATCTAAGACCAAAAGAAGATGGATTACCCCAGCTCCAAAAAGGAGAATTCACTCACTCTGTGCACTTTCATTCTGTTGAGGCCTCCTGGTGAGAGGAGGGCTGTGTCCCCTAGCATACTGATTTAAATGCTGATCACTACAAGAAATACCCGTAAGTATGTTTGGGTGAGCTATCTGGGCATTCCATAACCCACACAAAATTACCCATCTAGAACCACCCAGGAAGAGAGTCTCAGGGAGGGATTATCTACCCACTCCCAAAACCTCCAGCCCTATGAAATGTCCCTCTTGCTTAAATTCTCAATGGCTTCTCATTTCACTAAGAATAGTAGCTGAAAGCATCGAAATGGGCCACAAAGGCCTTTGCAGATCTTTTAATTTCCAGCCCTGCTTTGCTTATTCATTAGGATCCAGACACACTGGCATCAGCATCTTCATCAGACATCCTAGGCTTGCTTTCATCTTTGGGGTTTTCTGTGTGTTGTTCCCTGCATCTCTGTGGAATGCTTTTTGCCAGATACCATCTCAGTTCAGGTCTTTACTCAGCGAATGAAAGTCAGTGAAATCTTCTCTTGATGTAACTTAAAAAAAAAAAAAAAACAACTCGGCTTCTGTCTTAGTTAGAGGTGATATTGCTGTGAAAAGACACCATGACCATGGCAACTCTTTTTTTTTCTAAATATTTTTATTTAAAAAAAAAATTTTATTCATTTTCATACACAGATCCCCCTCTCATCCCTCCTCCTACTCCTTGCCCTCAGTCTTCTCCCCCTCCGACCCAACCTCCCATCCCCTCTTCCAAAAGGGTAAGGCCTCCCATGAGGAGTCATTTAGTTGAGGAAGGACGAAGCCCCGCCCCCCTGCATCAAGGCTGAGCAAGGCATCCCACCATAGGTAATGGGCTCCAAAAAGCCAGCTCATGCACCAAGGATAGATCCTGATCCCACTGCCAGGGGCCCCTCAAACAGACCAAGCTACACAACTGTCTCTCATATGCAGAAGGTCTAGTCCTGTCCCACGCAGGTTCCACAGCTGTCAGTCTAAAGTTCATGAGTTCCTGCGAGCTTGATTCAGTTGTCTGTAGATTTCCCCATCATGAACTTGACCCTCCTTGATCATATAATCCCTCTTCCCCCTCTTCAACTGGACTCCCAAAGCTTGGCCTGGTGCTTGGTGTGGATCTCTGCATCTGCTTCCATCAGTTACTGGATAAAGGCTCTATGATGACAGTTAGGGTATTCACCAATCTGATTACCAGGGTAGGGAAGTTCAAGCACCCTCTCCACTATTGCTATTAGACTAATCTGGGGTCGTCCTTGTGGGTTCCTGGGAATTTCCCTAGCACCCCTTACCCCATAATGTCTCC